TTCAATAGTTTTGCATCTTAGTTTTATATTAGAATTGTTAGACAATACATAGCAGTGAGTAAATTAAGATTAGACATACAATACTTTGATAAATGACAAATCAGGAAATACAAGTTTTAGTGACGATGAGTGCAACTCATTATTAATTATATATTTATACTTGACATAATATGTTTATTTGCGTTCAAGAAACTAGATATATAAGATGTTTATTATATTTCAGAAGTGATTGAATATATATATTATAATATTAATGTCGATATACTATAATTGTCATATCGTTAACATCATTACCTAAATAATGTATCTTACATAGTGAAGGTAATAATCTTTACCTATTCGATAGGATTGAAAGTTGTTTTATTATTCATAATTGAAAGAAAATCAAAAAAAAAAAACTCTTAATTGTGAATAGATAGGTCCTCTTTGAAAATTTATCGAAAATTGATGCATGTAAACGGTTGTAAACCAATCACTCATTTCAACAAAAGCTAAGGATCATGTGCAAATTTTTGCGGTTAAGTTCACAATAATATGCATCATGTGATTTTAAAATTATTTTTTTAAAACTCGTGATAAATAAAGTAAAAATAAATTCATTATAAATATCATATAGGAACACAATACCATTTAAAATCAAATATGAAGTGACATAGTATCAATAAGATTTACTGAAAATTTTTCTCATCTTCCAATATTCTGAAGCCAAAACGAATAAACTACCACTATAATATACATGTAAGACCCAAAATAATAAAAAGTCTAATATATTTATTAATCTTTATTTACGATGTAATGAATGAATCAAATCAATTGATAATATTTATTATTTTTAAAATGAATTTGTATTAAAATTAAAAATATTTGATGATCATATTATTGTTTAAATACAATATAATATTATTAGAAGTGTAAGGTCTCAATCAGAATTCATCTTGTGTAATTTGCTTCTAAAAACTATTATTAAAAACACATTCGTTAAAATTGTGATTTGTAATTTTAATATTTAAAAACGATTAGCTTATAATTTACAGTGAAAATTGTGGTTCTTATAGATTAAAAAAAAAGATTTTTTTATCATCACAGATACTTGAATGAAACAAATTAATCCAAGTAATTGAAAAAATTGTTTTAAATCATTGCTATGTTTGAAAATTTCAAAAATTAGATCTTGTCTTAATACCTGTGGTTATCATACATAATAAAGTTTACTCTGTCTAATCGTATGTGTATAATAATATTATAGTTTCAAACACTTTAAACGGCTCTCCAAGGTTTTTCTACTTTTACGAATTTATAAATTGTATTCACTACTATAATAAATATCTACAAACATTATCATCGACGCTGATAATGCCTGTGGTGTAATGCGTTGGCATACATAGGTAGCATAAAATGCATATCTAAGATATAAACAAAGTTTCACATGCGCATTTTATCTTGTACGTGGATACGATAATCGACCGTCGGTTGTCTGATATTTATTGCGTCGTAACCATTTTACCGATATGTTACAATAACAATGTACGAGAACATACATTGACACACATTTGCACATACTTCCCCGTAAAATACCTACGCACGAGTGCGATTTAACCCATCTACGTAGCATCGCGAAAATGGGGTTTCTTGTCCCCAAGTTGTTTACACATTGTATACACAAGTTGACCTTAGGTACGGATTAAAAGTCAATCTTACTGAATAATTCTCCCAAATCTAAATTTTCGCTCATATATTACATATTATATATAATTTAACAATAGATTATACGATACGTAGGTCCACATTTAAAAACATATTATGATATGATAAATGATAATATGCAAATATTTAAATTAACATGCAAGATATGTATACTCTTTTTTTTTTAAATAATTTCAAATCAAGAATGAAATAAAAAATATTTAAGTAAATGATAACTAAAGAGCTTTACTCTTATTTAAATATAAAAATGTTTGTTTATCATATAATTTAAATTCTGACTCAAAATTGAAATAAGTATACTAATGAATCATACATAAGTTATGATAAATTAGCAAAAACTAAAAGATAAAACTTATGAAGTCATGTCTTAAATATATGTATACTGTATACACTCATACTCGTGTTCATAACTCATTTATTTTAATTTATAATATTAACGAAATAAATTTTAAAATTGCTTAAATGTATTTTATTTTTTTCTGAGTCGTTACACTTTTGGATGATACAATTTCAGATTATTGTTTGAAACGATTTATTGTATATCACCACAGAACGGACGCGATATGTTTAACAACATAATATTACTATCATATAATATACATATTATACATGTCGGTTGACCTTTATTCGAATGTCAGTTAAAAAATTTAACATTAACAATCCGATTTAATGTACATATCAACGATAAGAAAAAAAATACACTTCACATTCAAAACAAAAAACAAATATGTTCATGAATAATATGCTAAATAATTTCTTTTTACTGGATGTTTTAGTGATGACGATATCGAATGGTTTTAATCATTGGGGTGTAAAATAATATTATTATTCTATTTAATAATTTATATATACGGTGGTGGCGGTCGTAACCGTTTTACGGTTTCCAAACTGATTGTCGCGATTTTTCGATACCACTTAAACGGATTAAAAACGCTAGATAGTTGGTGTACGGCTTAGGAAGGCGGTTTTTATTGTCATTAGGTCGTAAAAGTCCACGAGCCATCGTAAACCCATGACGACAAAGGATGGCTATTATATACCTATATTATTTATGTATATATTATTATATTATTATATTCACACAAATTTATAATAAACAGATATATAAATATGTATGTTTACCAATAAGCAGATCCGAAGATAGTGTGCAAAAGTGATAGAGAGGCGGTCGGCTCTGATACTCGTTACTCTTCATTCCATAGTAAGAGATGAATTTATTACTATTTTAATTTTAATTTTCTAGATACAATCCGGAAGAACTAGAACCGCAAAACTCGGGGCTTATAATAATAGTAAAATTTTAAGTTACGATAGAACCAAGAATAATGCTAGTAGAAACGACTCAATCAACAAATAATATTATGTTTTAAGCATAGATAATACATATATGTATATATTATATGCATATATTATATAGCGACTGTCGGAATATTCAATATGAAGTATATCGAATTAATCATTTTGTTTAATAAGCACTAAATATTGTGAAACTCGTGAAGGAATTATTGTTTCACAAGATCATCGTCTTTGTCAATCCTAACCACATTTTCGATATTATGTTTGAAACATGTCGGTACATTACCTACTCCCCTCAAACTCTCCTCAATACAGTTTGTCCTAACAAATTATCACATTTAAATGTTCGTTATTATGTACCTATTACTATATAGTATATATTATATAACGTTTATTAAATATCTGTAATCAAAAATAGAATTTACTATTATCTACGTCGAGAATACAACAATATTGTAATATTCCATCGGAATATTGCAAAGTATACTCTGAAATTAATAATTTGCTCAGATATGACAATTAACTTTCAAATTACCATATTTTGATTGTAAACCAGTTACCAACATGGTTTTAATTTAATCGAACTAATTGTAAAAGGTATAAAAATAATATCATATATAAGCTTCAATTCATTACAACAATCGTAATAATGAGCGAATTTGTCATCTTGATTTTGTTTCTATAACATTTATACACTATGAGTATTGATTAAGTAGAATAAATAAATATCTACCAAGTTTAAAAGTATATAAAACTGAAATTACCTATGACAGTATATATGTATTCATATATGCTTTTGAAGAATCGTACTCCCTTAAGTATTGATATATACATAGAATATATAGGTATATGTTAGACTATAAATACGTTAGCATAATTTATAATGTTAACTCATTTGATAAAATGAATTTTCAATGTTTGAAACTTTTGTAACCATGAGAGAATATATTTAAGAAATTTAGTTTAAATGTACTACTTAGGAATATCTAAACACATTCACTCTCTGCCGTGAATTCTGATAGATTTAGTAGCCATCATTCGTTAAAGAAAAATACATTTGTATTTGAAAATTAACTTAATTATTACTTAATAATGTACATTCATACTACTTGAGTAAATTAATTTTTTCATTAAATTCTATGTAATGTATCTAATAATTGAAACATAACCAATTAATTATTTAAAACAGCTTAGTGAAATCACAGCTCAATAAGTCACCTAAAAGTAATTTAAAGTACGCTTTTTCTTATATATATTTTTTGAATATAGGTTAATGCCAACTAGAAAGAATAATGTGAAAATAAATATTTCATAATAGTTATTAGTTACTATTAAATAATAAAAAAAATTTAATTTATTTATATTTTAAAAATTCGTTAGTCCTATTTGAATTTTTATGACTGCCACTCTGATATTAACTTTACTACATTGAATTACATATAATAAAAAAACTAACTGTATAAGAATAAAAAAAAAAAATAGTAATTTATTTTGAAATGTATTAAAATAATAAAATAGTTATTCAAAGTGTTTTATTGATCAGTTATATATTATTGGAAATACTTGTTGAACATTTACTATTCTTTTAATTCTTATGTATGAGTATTTTTACTAACAAATTATGTATAGCCATCTGATATTTAATATCTTTAAATAATTTTTCATTGTATTTTGTAATTATTACTCGGAAAAATGATTCTTAACTTTTAAGCCCCCGTTGACCTAAATATTGAATAAACTCGTTTAAAATGCGTCGCTTATATTTATAATAACCCGAGAATAGATTATATAGCAGTAAAGTGCCTCATGCAGCTTTGATACAATTCAAATACAATTTTTCCATAGCTGATTCTGTATAAATTACACTATTGTATATTATATTTATTTTTACGGGTATAACTATATAACGGTATAACCCCCATTTGTATGAAACCCATTGATTAAAGTAAAACTACTTAAATGTAAACTATATATTACATGATACGATTGTAAAGTCTTACCTGTTTGTGTACTAGAATCGAACAAAGTGCTACTTGTCTCCACGGCCATAGTGGCTAGAGTTCCATCTATGATTTGTGTACTTGAATCTCTTCGACCTCTCGTACGATAACATTCATCTGATTGAGACGATAGTCGACGAAAATTCCTGCACCGAATCATTTCTTCGGTAGTTGACTAAACAAAAAAAAAAAAAAACAATACAAAACAAAACATTAATGAAAAAATTAAATTAAATTTAGTTTTTATTTAAACATTACAATATTATATTGATTTGTTTTGACCTTAAAACACTGATGTTTAATAATAGCAAAATGTTTCAAAGATATTTTTATACCACCGTATCAGAAAAGTATAAAAAAGTAAAACGATAGATCAACTTTTTTTCTTTTTTTTTTTTTAACACAAAACGAATCGAGTATGATAATAAAATCATACTAGGTTTATCTAAGCAATATAATAATTATTAATTAGATAATTTGAGAATTATACTTAAGGTTCATCATATGCTGAGGCATTGAGATGGGTTGTGTATGGTTTAAAAAACTATAATTTGTCAGTTCATCGAGAATGTTATTATAATTATAATAAGCGTTGTTAATGAATAATGAATCGTCAGTGGATTTACCTAAAAGTCATAAATATTATATTGTTTTTTTTTCAATTTTTAGACATATTAAATACCCCAAGGTTTTTGTATGTAAACCGTAGAAATATTCTAATTCTGAAATTTATGAACTATTAAATCAATTTAACAACCATAAAAAGTGTTAGGTATTAAAAAAAAATAATAATATTATAGAAACATTATAATAAACACTTGTAAAAATCAGTTTTTAATACAACGTTTGTATGGTATCCAATCAGGTAATATTTTATTAAAAAAAATTGAATTCGATAATATATAACTATCAAACATGTTTACAATGAACCTGGATTGTTCTATTGAATAAGGTATAACTAGCAATGTTGCCAAAAAAAAAAAAAAAAAATGAATAAATAAAGTAAAATCATAAGAAAATTGCTATGGTAAGTATGTTGGACGGGCCAGATTAAATGAACCAAAAAAGAGTTTTTTAAAAATAAATTCGTGGTAAACACGGAAAAAAATCAAAATTAAACGACCCAACAGATGGTCATCATATAATATTGGCATAAAACCATGATACATGAACCAGGATATCGAAATGAGCTGGTTCGAGACGTTATCAGTGAATTAACAACGATGTGTAATAAGACATTTATAATCTAAATTGGTGTTGATAGGGAAAGTGATTGGTGTGGTCTGTATCATAAAAAATGAGATTATTATTTAAAAACATTCAATTATATATATTACAAAGCTGATTTAAATTTTGACGCAAACTATTATGAGAGTATTTTTCACAAAATATTTGATAATAGTACACAATAATTGTGTAATCATTGCATAAATGTTAAAAGATATAAAAAACAAATTTACAAATTTATACAAAAATTAAACACGTTTACAAAATTGTATAATTCTGTTATGTGTCTTTAATTGATACTGCCACTATCTGTTTGTTTTAATTATTTAAAGTTACAAAAGACAGAAGAAAAATATTATAATATAGAACTAAGATATGTTTGAAATTTGAATATCATTCTTATTTCTTATCCTCTCACAACCTAGTTTAGTAGATAATGCGGGTTATTCTTTTCCCCAATAATCAAATATTCGTATAATTTTAGATCATAATCGATTAATTGAATAATCTGAATATAGCACGATTGTTAATCGAAAGACAAATAATCGAATAGTATTCGATTAATAAAAATAAAAAACCTGAGCTGTCACGGGACGCCTGACAGATGTGAAACATCAACATTATTTTGTAATAGTAATTGCAGAAAAGAACAGATTGCGATAGGAACTAAATATGTCATAATGATAAAATAAAATATTACGATTTTTTTTCAGATTATGATGACTGTTTATTTAATAAACATTTATTTTCATTAAATACAAAAATTTACGAATTTATTTCAAATCGTGACTACTTAATTCGTTTAATCAGTGACTTCGGTAATAGTGACATTCGATGTTGCCTCTGACGACAGTATTACTGTGACAATTGGTCGATGCTAGCTGAAGTATGTTACAAAAGTATTGGACATAACATTATCAAGATATCTAATAAATACAGCATCTATTGTTGTTCCGTATCTGGTGGTAGGTTCTCTTGGATTGAGATATAAATGATATGATCAAATAATAACTATAATAAAAACTAACTAATTATAATAATAATTAATATTATGCTGTTTTTTTATCATGATATAATTGGATTGAGATGGCTTAACGCCGGATCGAGTGGAAGAGAATCGCACAGTCGATTGCGCATGGCGACGCGTCGCCACACCGTACACACTACCATCATATATACCATCATATAGCGTGGCGACGCGTCGCCACGCCAGAAATCGGTTTTACGTGCGGCTATAGATGTTTCACATCAAAAATTGCATAGCTCTAATCTAGATACCAGTTCATTTCATCTCGGTTCATAGGAAAAACTAACAACGTTACAATAACATCTTATGATAGTTATATGGTATCAAGGCGTAGTAATTCTACAATGTCCGGAAACACGCACTTGTCTACGGAAGCCCCTGGCAATCAATATCTCTTCGGTAGTAGATTGTCTCCGGATAATCGGAGTCCGTTGAGAAGTCGCAGGCGCTACAGCCCTGCCGGCTGGCGAGGGTTCTCGGGAAGAGCACGAAGACGACGAATCCGGCGATCTGGACGATTGGCAGCTCCGTACGTTGTAACCGCCCATCGTAGTGCTCTGACGTCGGTAGTTCCTACGGCGTCTCTGCCTTCCAGGAGATACGTCCCTGCCCTGTCTATCAGGGGACAAACCACCCTGTAAACGCACTCACGTGAAAAACGGTCGTTATAATTCATTTTATTTTCATAAATAATATACATATATTATGTATTACACAAGACGTATTATACAATAAATCAGAGTCGTTGCGAACATAAATTGTCATAAATAAAATATGATTATTCAATAGGATAAACAACGTTTAATAAGTGATCGGGATGTTAAAAATAAACTAAAGTTATTTTATTTGTTAGGTTTTACACAGGAATTTGAAGTGAAGCAATAGAGTTGATTAAAAGCTAATGAAAAAGCCTAATCTGCGTATTTAAATTAATTGCAAGCGTCTAATTCATCATGGCGGTGGAGAGAAAAATTAAGACTTTTATTTTTTTAATGGGAATAAAGCAATAACAGTAAAATATAAATTCTATTTTTTTATCGTTTAAAATAGTGAAAAGGTTAGAAAAAGGTAAAAAGGTGCAAACATAAATCAAAAGACGTAATTGGTTCTGAAATGGTCACATATTGTGAGCGTTCGGAGACCTAATCGGAAATCTTGTATGTGGACCGAAAAAAAATGTCGAACATAATATTGTTTTTATACTATGCAGCATAGAATGTTCTCAAAAAAAAACAAAAAAAAAAAAAAAAAAGGCGGGGTATGTTAACTACTCACGCTGACTCTAGAGTCTCGGCGTCGTGCGTAGTGCGCCGAGTCAGGCGATAGGGAGTCGCGCCTGGTCTTCCGGTCCGAATAGTCCAAGTCTGCGGACAGTGTCGGTTGCGAGCTCCGCCGGCCGCAATGCAGGCTCGATGGCATGCAGGTCTCATCGATAGCCGTCGATTGCCGCTGCAACCTGGGCAACTTGTTGCCTACCGATATACCATCCTTGCTGTGCCTTCGTTCGGGCGACACGTGAGGCTTGGAATTCCGACGAGCTCTCGAGGAGTATACCTATATTTTAATGTAAAAAATACCGTTAGCGCATCCTCAGTTTATTATTATTATTATTATCTATCGAGTATGCGTATTCCCCAAACCCTAACACGATCTTCAGACTTCAAGGGGGTAAACCGAAGTTATAATATGCGATTTAACGCAACGAGTTAATAAAGTGTCGTATATCGGGATTAGTGTGGGTTACTTCGTTACTTCCATCCGAAAAAAAAACGGTATTTTTAATATAATAATGATTATTGCGAGATTGAGCAATAAACAAGTTATCAAGATCGAGTTCAAAAACAACGGTAATCAAAACATTAATAGTAAAATTATTAGAAAAAGGGACAATTCAAAATTCTCAAAAAAACGTTATATAACGATATAATTAAAACTTTGTGTCCAGTATACTGAACATTCCTTATGAGTTATGACGTATTACAATAAGTGATATTTTATAAAACGCATATTTGAGAAACGTTTTTGGCAAAAGATAGCGTTCTAAAACAACACTATCTTATCATATTTATGGACGGTACATTATTATAAAATATGCTTTCATCTTTGTGTTCGTTGTAATATTCATATGGCTTTGGTGGAGGTAATGACGAACGGGCGAGAGTCAACTCAAGAATGGCGCAGGACACTCACTTGCGTGGTGGAGTCTCTGCGGGACACGGACGGTGCGTGCGTCACGTTACCGGCGCACAACTGCGTCGGTGGCACCGCAGACACCGGCGAGCTGGGCCCCGACACTGGCGGCGTGTAACCGCATGACACGCTGTGCTGGGTGGGCACCACGGAGCACGTCGCGTAACCGCTTGACGCGCCGTGCTGCGCAGTTGCCACGGATGTGTTGGCAGTGGCACTGATGGAGGCGGCATTGGAGACGGACGAGACGGACGACGACGGTGCGTGCTGATGCGTGGGTGACAGAGGGGCACGTGGCGAAGTGGGTGGCGGCGTCACGCTGCTGATGACCATCGTCGGCGGCGTCATGGTCTGGTCGTCCACCGTCTTCGCGGGACCGTCACCGCCGCCGCCCGTCGATCCGTTGGACGACGTGGACTGGCCCGGCACGACGATTGCCTGCGAGTCCCTGCGCTTGTGGCACGTGCGGTGCTGTCGGAACGCACGACCGTCGTCCCTGGATCCGCGACGTCCGCCATCGCCGTCTGAATAACCGACGCTGAAAAACATGATTATTGAATTAAATATAGTTTGGTAAATAAACAGTCAACTGACAACAGATTACCCGAATCGTTTGAAATGTTTTTCAAACGTTTTACTTTCAACCGAAATCTCAGAACGATTCGGCGTTAACATAAACCGATGTTACGACACGGAAAAAACCCACCACTACTAAATTGAAGCGCTAAAATACGTAGATACTTGTTTTTTTAAATCAATATATTTATAATTAATCGCATTGTATAGTTAGAGTTAAAAATCAAGTCTCCTAAAAATTAATAACTAAAATCAGAAATACATAGAATTTATTGAAACCACAATTATTAATCACTATTTTTTTCAAAACACAGATAATATTTCATGCGAAAAAACAGTAAGAACTTTAAAACAATCATTAATAGAATAATATTATAATTACTTTATTACTTTATCCTAGTTGAAGAAATGTTTTTCCTAATATTATTGGTATGTATAAATATTATAATATCAATTCTTCTACTGTTCATAATATTAAGTTATATATTTTATGAATTATGTTTATAAATACTATAGTCTTTTAATAATTTACCCTTAATACACAATAGGTACATCTTAATTTTTTTTTATGCATTTCATAAATTAATCTGCGTGGGTAATAAATATTATTCAAAAAAGAAAAACAAGCAGTTGTGTTCTCAATATTATGTTTATTATTATTAAGAGTTTAACATTTATCAATAAAAAACTGAAAAGAAAATGAAACATAGTAATGGAAATTAATTCAGTTTCCAAAGTACTTATAGAATATATAAGAATTTTTGAAATACAAATGGATTTTATTATGGTTAGAATATTGTATTTTTTTAATATTAACAGAATAATTAATTTTCATTCAGATTCATATTTCGCTTTGGTGTATGAACTTTATCTGACGTTGACTGAAAATTTAAACTTACTTTAAATAAAATTGTGGATATTCTATACGAGTAGAGAAAAATATTATCTGAAATCTAAATACAATTATACGAATTCTCAATCACAGATCTTTAGGCGAAATAATTTAACGTAATTCATAGCTAAATGAATTTAAAACTTAAAATAATTTTAAGACGTACGAAAAGTAAAAGTTGAAATATATAATTAAGTTTTAGTTTACTTTCATAATCAATGGTTTTTGGGGATAAGTAATTTGGATTTAGATTGATAATTGTAAAGTATCAACATTTGGATGATGCGTTCATTATATTTAACTAACTTTAAACTGATATTGAATAATATGTAACATTTAAATGTATTTTACTATTATGAATAAATAAATAAATTTACTTTGAAAATGGGAATAAGACTGCTCTAATTAAATAAATTAAATATTATATTATATTTTAGTTGAAAGCAAGATGTGTATTTGTAGTAAGTTGTACTAATTGTTTGATATTTAAAATAATAACTTTAATGCTAACGATATTTGTCTCAGAAAAAATATATGATTGGCTTAACTTTTATAAGGGAATTGTATTTTTTCTTTTCCTTATTTTTAATAAATTAAAATGAATTTTGTCCAGTTTACAGGATGGAAAAATATTTAAAAAATACATCATTATAATTGGTACCGTCATTTTTCGATTAGAATAAGAATTGTTAGTGACAACATTGATAGGATCTGTACGACTGTTGAAAAACATCATAGGATAGATATTCAACAAAAGCGTAACCAGTGCAGATGAAAACTTATTATAAAAGTAAAGGTAATTAAAACATTAAAAAATCAAGTGACGTATATTTTAATTTTCAAAGGAACAATTATTATTAGTTAACAAGAATTATTATTCATTATAATTTATAAGTAGATTATATTAAAATATAATGGTGAAATGAAAGAGACGATGCAACGTATCATTGTAGAATGAAAAAAAGTAAACAATAAACTGAGTTAGTGGGGTAAGAATAATACAAAATCAGCATATTAGTAAAATAATTATTGTTTCCTAATCATATCATATTAGAGTGCTTATAATTTAGAGTAGTATACGCAAAATAGATTAGATTTATCACAAAATACAGTACACCTAAAAATTTGAGTATTGATATTATTATATTATATTTATAAATACTTGCTAATTTTGTAAACTAATAAAAATACTGTGAAACATCACAATGCTAACGTATCTTTAATTGGATTATACTGATGAAATCAAAAAGTGCTTTTTACTGGTTTATTCGCTGGAGATTATAATATAATATTGCAGGTAATAAAATATGATATCGAGCGAAACTATTCAAAACCATAACATAATCAATATCTTTAAATTATAACAATTACATAGAATATTGGTTTTTAGTAATATAAACATTTTAAATTAAATCTGAGTTGAGAAATTTTGTTGATGTAAGACGTAGGTGTGCATTTATAATTATACTTCGGTAAACTGAATTTGTAAAACTTTTACGTTTTAATTTATTTCTTGAATTTCTATCAGAAATGGTTAAAGCCTAATACGATATTGAAATTGAAAAAAGTTTAAATTACAGTTTTCAGACATGATATATAAGTCAAATAGAAATTAGTTAAAAAATAATTATATATTATAAACCTAAAACTTTAGAATTAAGACTTGCTATTGAGTAAAAATATTCTTGTTTTTGTTTGCCATTGATTGAATTAAATAAGTTTCATAAATAATTATAAAAATGCAGAATATTGAAAATTTCTATCTAGAATATCTAATTATTAAATATATTAAATATTAGTAATGAAAACCATTCCAATAACTGTTTGAAAGACTATAAAGTTGTTATAATATTATACAAAAAAAAAAAAAAAAAAAAAACGTTTAAGATGGCTGGTGTGAATTTTTCAAAATAATATTCGTAATTCAAGATGAATATAGCAGTAGTGTTTCAATGGATTTTAATAGTTGTATAATCAGGTTATAAAATATCTTTTAGCGAAAATTGAATGTTTTATCACTAATGCGATATGCGAACCATTTCAACAGGTTAATATATACACTATACAGATAATGAGATGAATAGATCAAAGAATGAATATTTTCATTTTATTATTTATATTAGATCCTTGATTTAAGAAAACGGTTTTGGATGACGAGTGTATTAAATTGATCAAGTTATGTTCGATTATATTTTGTAAAGAGGTTAGTCGTTGAACTTGTTATATATCACTCATAAACCGTTAACGAAAGCGTAATCAGAAATGAAATAGATAATCTATAGCCTGGGTTGTAGTACAATAAAATTGCTTATCCAGACCGTCATGTTATAATAATTACAAAATATTATTATCATTTAAATGCATAAAACAAAAGCTTCGCTTTGTATCATACCGAAAAAAATGTCAAGTTATTGACGTTAGTATAAATTCACAAGCCACTAAGTACATCTAAGTTTTTCGTTTTGTTTTATAATAATATTAATATTTTGTTTCCTTATTTAAATATTATATTCTATTAGGTTAAGTTTCAAATTTCAAACTAATATTAACTATTATTAATAATAATGTGTAAAAATGGATTTTAGAACAGTAAATTCTCAAATTTCTGAATTTAAAAATAAAAATAGTAATATTTTACTTAGAGTGAATAATATTTATATTTACATTTATAGCTAATTATTTTTTTGTATTATTTATAATTTTTCGAATTAGATTGAGTATAAATATATAAATAAATATGTGTGTGTTTTAACTTAAGTTAAAAATTTAAGATAATTTTACTATACTAAAAGCGCAAAAGAAAACTTGTAAGCAAATTAAACGTAGTTTAAGGGAAAAAAAATAATTAGTTTGTAGGAATATATACAATTGACTATTATATGGCGCGTGAATTGTGTGTACGATGACATAAGATTTTACGAGAATGAGATTTGATGAAAACTGTTTTCTCGGATAGCTTTGTTTTGAATTAACAATAGGCAACGTTTGATCATTAAAATACAACTGCTATAATAATGAATCTTTTTGGTATATTATTAAAGTCTAAAGACCATTCTCAGAGACATAATGAAAATGGATCATGAAGATACATATTCTATATGTCTAGAAAGTTAGCATAAAAATTGAATAGCAAAAATATTTTAAAACTAATACAGCTAATATAGTACTATGCACATAGTATCAAATAATATAATCATAGAGTTTCACATTTAATTAATTTTTAACCAACAAATATTAATAAAGTTTCGTGACTGAAACTAAAAAGCAAATTGATAATTTCTAAATTGTCTAGACTGTTTGTAAAATAACAGTTATTATTAACATACAATGGTCCCAAAGTAACACATTTACGAATATTCCATTTCATGAATCATGAGGAAAACACATGATAATATTATGTTAAATGTTTTATATTTATAATAACCAGTGATGAAGCGTCAAAGGAAACAATGGCAATGAAATAATGTTTCTCTACTAAGAAATTAGAACACGGGACAAATAATTTTGTTTTATAGAATATTTACAAATTTGAACGTCATTTATATTAAATGTGTATGTTTTAATATTTGTTAAAATCGGCTTTTCGTTGTACAAGTTAGTCTTATAGAATTCTTAAAATAGATTAGTTGTGCGTGATACGGCTGTACATACGAGTCATTCCAAATGTTATGGAAGGTATTTTACCAAAGAGACATTGCAATGCAACGTCCCAATTATGATCGCGCGGGTACAGGGGGAATTTTAATGTGAATGAGGTTTACTATGTACGCTATGAGACGTTTATCGCCGTTCGTATTTCCTCAATTATCGACGTCAACATTAAACCATAAATAAAATCCATTATCTATGAAAATTTGAAAAGTTATCAACTATAAAAAAATATCTTTAAAAGGACGCTACACAGGAATTTGTTTTCTCCGTCTTACAAGTGCGTAACATAGTAAATTTACGTTCAGCAGATTAAGTTTAGCTTCGTTGGTTTAAAAATTAGTGAATCGACCAGAAATTAAATTTAATGATAAGAAAATTGTCTGTGTTTGTAAGTGGGTTTTTACGATAATTCAAATTTTTAAGGGAGTTATGAGTATTTTTAATTTACTTCATTTTACATACAAAAAACTTGCTAAAAATTGAACTATTCTAAAAAAACCCACGTACAAACATAGATAATATTCTTATTATCAAATTTCATTATATGTCGATTCTCTAATTTTTAATCTAACCAAGCTAAACTTAATCTGCTGAATGTAAATTTTCCATGTTACGCACTTGAAAGACGAAGACAACAAATGTCTGTGTACCGTCTTCTAATGATTGAACAATTAATTTAAAATGTTTAATTTCAATCGATTATATGTTATTACAAATGTACAATGTTATTGCTAGTTGGAAACGTCATATATTTTATTATCATTTATAATATTAATTCTCTACACAGGCTATGTTTAAAGGAGGTAAGTAAATACGCTCCACGTTCACTAAAAAACTAATATTAATTTATATAATTGCAATATATTTACTAATTTACACATATTTTAAGTAATACTTCAATAAGTATAATGTTGTAAGAAGTTTTTGTACTTCAGGAGTTTCATATATTTATTAGTTTGTGAATACGCGCACGTATCATATTCAAATTACACAAGTGATATAAATACAAAATAGTCAACAGCATTGACACGAAACGTTTTTAACGATGGTCCATGAAATAATAATATACCTCTCCCGAGATGCGTAGCCCTCGTGTACCCCTCGCTGTGGGGACAATGGGCGTGATTACGCACGACCGCACAGCGGTTAAGTGGATTTCAACGCCATCTCTTGAGCGTTGTATACGTTTCACTTCTACCAGAACAGTCTCTTAATATTGCATACTATACATTAGCTATGTTTGGATATTATTATTGTTATTATTTTTTTATTAAATTTACCTACCTATGTATAATAAAATATATATTTATTGTATTCACAGAATATTTACGACCCCGTTGTTTATTAAGTTGTCTTTTTTCTCTCCTGATATGATATCAAAATAGGTTACGTACTTTAACGATTCTCTATAAATTATAGTTTCTTTGATAAACATGATGATTTACAACATAAATCTGAATTTATTAGTGTATGGAAGTAATTTAGTGCATACATCCTTGGAGTATACTCGAAACTAAAGAATACGATTTAGCAAAAAAGTGTTAGAGTATGATGAGTATAATAATAAATAACATTATGTTCCTGTAATATATATGCTGATATACTGTAAATATGTGAATATTTGAATTGAGAATGTGATTTTTAATCTAACGGATGTTCACAGAATCAATAATCAGAAGAAAACGACCCTAGTCTCCAAGTTCCTTCGCAAATCACAAATATTGATTATGATGTAAGTAACTATGTACGTATATTAATAATATTGAAAATTAAAATAATTACTCTCCAGATCCTCTGCGCCTGGACTGCTGTGAGACGCTACTAGGCGTTATAATGGAGTCACGCCGGTTATTGAGCAGTTTGGCAATGTCGGCCCGGAAGTCGGTTTTGGAGTCCCGACGGCCGCCACCTTTACTGGACAACGACTTGACACCTGAGTCAACGGACGACTCGCGCCGCTTCCTGGATGACGTGATCGTGTTGGACCGACCAAACGGAAGCGTTTTGGCAATGTCGGCCAGCGTCTCTCGCCTGGTGATACCCTTTGGCCGACCACCCGACTTACCTCCGCCACCGCCGCCTCCGCCTCCGCCTCCACCGCCGCCGCCGCCCACCCCACCTCCACCGCCACCTCCAACTCCACCTCCACCCATGCTGGTGCCGCTCCACTCGCGCAATATATCGGTGAGCTGGGCAAGTGAACTGCGTCTCCGTCGCCGACTGACCGGCGGCGACGTTTCCGCGGTCTCTGTTGGCGGTGACTCGGTGGTGATCTGTGCGGCTGAGTCCCGACGACCACCCAACCGTTGTTTGATCGTCGTCTCCTCCATCTGCTCGCGCAGTATATCGTCCCAACCATTGCCACCCTGCCATACCAGTCCCACCTGATAACTGAGGATCGGCAGGTTGCACACGAAACATATGGCCGTCATCGTCCTGCAGGATGCCGCAAGCACGCCAAAAACAAACGCACAATGTAAAATATTATACGCGTGTGTGAGTGAAAGACAATTATTTTTATTTACATATAATATAATGATATTGTTTTATTTGTCGGCGTACGACGTACGCCGTGGGAGAGGCAGACGACGGATATTGTTTGTTTATTCCGCTACACTTATGAAGCTAGATATTATAATAAGTACATTTATACGATTTTATGTCCTTAAAAAAATAACGTAATTTCGAACAATTTAAAAACCGATTAATGTATGTTTTCATTTACGATATACTTATCAGATAAAATTATTTTTATATGTCTTAAAATAATTTTTTTAATATACTTTATTATTCTATAATACTACAACAAACATGAAAAGGACTTATTTTCATATTTATTTAAACCATTAATCAAAAATAATTAAATGCAGTTACTTTGAATTGCCGTGGAATACACAATTATAATATGGTCGACAAAATTAGGACATTGAAAAAAGTATTACATTCGTTGAATAGTCATTTTAATTGAAGTTAACATTTTTAACGTTTTCTTCACTTATATCAATGGGTTTCTACCTGTTCGTTTTGCCGTGTCATATTTTTTAAAGTGGTAAAAATTGAATTTCTGCAGTGTGTACGTTTTGTGATCGGTTTTATTTTTCTGTACGTGATCTGACGGCGACAAGTGTTCTATAGAATTTAAACTGGGCGATGAAACTACGAATCCAGCTTGTGTAAACGATGAACAAAAGTGCACGGAATAAACAAACGTACTTGAGTTGTGTATATATATATAATATATTGTGGATTATAATAATACGGTTAAAAAGATTGCATAATTTATGAAAAAATATCGTAACTTCATATTTAACCATTTCTATTCAGAAGTATACCATACCACAAAATCATTTCATGGAACAAATTGTAAAAATAAAGTTTAATTTACAGGCGGTAAACATAAAAGGTAATTATAGATAAAAATTATAAATAATTTGAAAAATAAATTGTAATTTGAATTGTCATATTAAATTTATCTACTCTGAAATGGTATATGTATATTAAACAAAGTTTTCCATTTAAAGACTAATATATATATATTAATATAATATTTAGAATTGTCAAATTGTGATGGTATTATTATCATTAATATTATACTCCACAATATTTTCTCACACATTATATTTTATTAATCGTAATTTATTTATAAATATAGGGTGGCTTAGGGAAACGGAAAATATTGAATGTTAGTTTTGGCAACACTGTAACACTGGCATGTTTTCAGAACCGATGTTTCTGTGAAGTTGCCTTGCTATTTTTTGGTACTTAGTGTTTTACTATTTACTATTCATGCAGCAATGTTGTCGCCTAAGAGTGTAATACAAAAACGTTACTTCATAATTTTCCGTTTCCCAGCGCATCTCTGTATGTACCTAAATATATATTATTAAACTAATATAACAACTGAAAATAATCAACTAATTGTCTAAAGCAATATTAACTAAATTGAAAAAAGCAACTAACACAACAAACAACTAAATCGTATTAACTAATATTAAATAGCAAAACCAATCGTGCAAAAAAGTCAAATCACTCAACAGAAAATAATGATTATAAACTTTTCAATTAAATAATTTTCCATAGATTTCATTTTTGGAAATGTGTGCTTTTTTAGAAAAAATAAATTAATAGGTGTGAATGTGCTAGTATCTCCTTATATATACAAAGAAAATATTGTGAACGTGAATACCCCGATTTCTATGTGACAAATGGACAGACCATTGTTCGTCATATAATGTATAAATACTTATCGAAAACATTGTTAACTATTAGATATATGTAAAATACATGTTATAGTTATACGTAAAAGTGGATGAAAAAAATGCGATCGACAATAGTATACAGTATGTCTATATTGAATGAAATAAAAATTATGATTTGTTATCCAAAAAACAAACAAATACTAAACACATATTATATTAAACAACATAGTTTGTGTACAAAGTGATCCATATATTAAACGGCTACATGAATATTAATTTTATTATACATTTTTGTATTTTAGGACACGATAATATGATATATATAGTTCAATTTATTTTACTATTTATTATTTTTAACACTGCATTATCATAAATACTTAAAATTCTATACAAATTTTGTTTTGAATAATACAATAATTATAGAACATATAGGTGTAGCCATTTAAATACGGATTGCTTTATAAATAAATATAAAATGTGTAATGTATATTATATACATTTTATAGGTTTGATGAAAAATTCAATAGACCACTCTAGAGTTAACTAACGAATAATTTATTTCTATCTTTCGATCATGACTCGTGCATAATAATAATGTTTCATATTATAAATATAATATATAGACACGTGTAAACTGTATATTTACGTAAAAGAAATCAATATTATTAATATGTGCGATGCAATGAAATAATAAACTGGTAATTATAAATAGTATTATAATAAACTTTGTGTAGTTATGCGTATTAGTTAAAACGCATAATAGGTATTAAACTTAGATACATGCAAACAGGGACGGAAAACTAATCACGCGCGCGTAGAGTACTATCAGAAAAAGTTTCGGAAATCCATCAAGTCATTAAGTCAAAGCGTGGCTTATCATGTCAATAATCGATATCGAAATCCAATTATCTGATTTAGTGTAAATATGTATGATTGACGGATATAAATTCCCTTTTTTATATTTAAATATATATGTAATTATGTATACATATATATACACACATAATACGAACGACATAAATAAGTTCCAGTTGTTATGCATTTTAAAATTACGCTAACGTTTACGTGTCGTATACCGTGGCGTTTAAGAGCACTAAGTGACATATTATATATTTTTATTTCTAAAAAATTAATTTCTAGCTAAATAATATCAATATTATCAACATTATCTTTAAAATTGCACAATTCTTATAACTTTTTATTGATGTATAACAATTTACTACTTAAGTGTGTGTAAGAATTTTTTGCGAAATATTTAGAATAATTTTAATAGAGGTAATATATTCTTCTTGGATTTTAAAAAAAAGATTAGGTTTATTTTAATAATATGCATTCCTACTTGATAAATAATAATCATTGATTATAGTTTGAGTTTTATTTTTTAGTTTAAAATATATGAAATGTTTATTATATTTGTATGTACCTATTACATTTTATCCGTAATTAATAATGATAATTTTACTCGTAAATAAATCAAAGTTTTGAAGTATGTAGAATGATTATTCATAGAGTTTATATTTATATGCATTAATATCAAGTTTATATTAATTAGAATAAAACGTGAAATGTAAAAAAGTTATTTAGTACGTTTTAATAAAAAAAAGCACCCGTGATGTATTTGATAAATAACAGTTATCAGTGTTGACATGGTCTTTGAAGCAAAACAAACAGTTATTATATATCTTGCGTCTGGGATCTAGTGCAGTTGTGTTCAACGTGATAACTCTGTCGACAAGAGAACATAATAATATATTATACGGAATTTGTAATGGTATTAAATTGTTCAAATTGTATACTCTCGGACACGAAAACTGTCCTCGCCATGTTTGAGAGTTGATTTAGTTATAAAAAGGTTGAGCTCATATATCCCTACGATCCTAAATAATACATTTATACATTATACATTGACGAATTCGATAATCAACATTTTCATTGCCAATGAAGTATGGATTGTGAACATTTAAGTTCTATTATTGTATTTTGAAAGTTATTTTTGTAATTTTCCGTCAAAAATTATATTACATAGGTACTTTAAAATGATCTAGAATTCCGTTTTTACTAATTTACAATGAAAATTAAAAATAAAACAACATTTAAAAATGTCTCATTGTAAAATGTATAGGTAGAGATTAAAAATATACATTTATACAGATTATACAATTTAATATTATTATAGATTTTATATTGTTGTAAAACATTTAATTTAAAAAGAAATGTATAATGAGTGAAAATTCAATTCAGTTAATTTAAACCCAAAAAATGTAATTCGTAATCAATTATAGTAATTAAAAAAAAAAACAACAGCATTAAGTTTTTAAGTATAAATTCTAATTTTTTGGCGTTTTTATATTTGCAATTATTTAAAACGTATTATTTCTATTAATTAAGTACGTTTTGGATTGACTATTTTATTTTTTCTATATCTAAAACACGAGCAATAGAACTTTTTGGCACAACATTAAAAAGTACGTTTTGGAATAATTTGCAGAAATAGTTTGTTTTGGTAATAATTGGTACTTATTTTTTTAACATGGGCAATAGTATGTTATATTTTGATTTTCTGAATAACAAATTAAAAATGATTATTTAGGATTAAACGAAATTTTTAAGAGCGATTTAACCGGGAAACAGTAAGGTTCTATCTATTCTAACGATGCCAATCCAATTTTCGACTTTTTCTATAGAAGTCGATATAAATTTGATTTTTTAAACTCTGATAAAAGTACGCTTTGGATATTTTCCAATCCTCATTTATAACATTGACGTGGGAATTTAAATATGTACTATTTAGTAGTACTCAGTATTAACTCGGTATTTTCTTCAATAGTAAAGTGTAATTTTTATGTAACTTATGTAAAATTTAAAATTGTTTATGCCATATAGAAATAATATTGATATGCACTGAAATAGTTTATTTTTTCTGTTCTTAAAAGTTTATATACTTCCTAAAAGTAAATAAATAAGTTCAAACCATATATTGAAACGTCAATATGAAAGTGAAATATATTTTTCGTATCTAGCGTATAACTGAATAAGTAGTAATATATTTGTATTCACATAAATCGTGACTCTGCGATCAAATGTTATAGGTTTTCTGACTAAGGTCTGAGCAACACATAAAATGGATATTCTACACTGGTCTTTTTGGGGTATAAGTATTTGAATTTAGTTCATAGTGCGTAAATAGTCTAATTTATCAAGTATGGTAATTTATATTCTTCTCTTCAATTATCGTTTTTTTCGAATTCTGATTTTTGGAATTATTAAGTACTCTAATTAAACACCGGATTACTAAGATTTTTTTTATACCATTTAAAGAATATTCTATGGTGATACAAACTTTTTTTTTATTCAAATAAGTACAAATATTATTGATCTAATACCTTTATTTCACAAGATTTAGTAGCTAAATATTCGATTGAATTTCGGTTTAAATATATCAATATTTTGAAAAAATTCATCTTTTTAACGATTTCAAAAAAAAAAATTGCTCTTATTTGAAAAAAGTTTATATCGATACAACAAAACATAATTTAAACAGTAAAAAAAAAATATCTAAGTAAATATTTAAATTTCAAAATAATATCAAGGAAAAATAATGGGGAACGGACATGATTAATGAATCACTGTGGATTTTAAAAACAATCTTCTTTAATATTATTGTTTAATGACATATTATTATTATTTATTTTTTTATGTGTTTTAAACAAAATTTCTCTAACATGCTAACGTTAAGTTAATTAATAGTTAAACATTTTAAATCCCTCAATAAAATTAAAAATCTTGGTAATCTGATAAGCATTAGTGATAAATAAATTAAAAAATTAAATAGTCGTTGAAAATTTTTTTAATTTTCTTTTTAAGTAGGTATATTTAGAAGAAAAAGTAAATTTATAGATCACATTAATACCTTACATGATCACTTAGTATCAATATCAATAGTACATTTTAATACTATTATTCTAGTCATAACCAACGAGCCGTACTTTGATGATAATGTTAAAAAAAAGGTATAAACACATTTTAAATGGAATAATAAAAAATATACTTTACATACGATTTATACGGAATAAAGATAATTTGTATCGTTTTGTTTTTAATTTAATTTTTTTTTCTTTTTTTTAGTACTTAAAAACATATAATAAATATGTTTTGAATGTGCACTTATTCTGACCCTAGTTATTTACAATTTTTTTTCTATTCCAAATTTTCTCGTTATTTCTTGGCTCAATATCGTTAATAGTAAAACGGCTACGTTAGTAGAATACATTATTATTTTCATTTAGGGATTTAGGGCTTCGTATTATTATAATGAAAGTATTAACGTGAAAAAAAAAACAAATTAAACGCTGACGGAGAGAGGTCGTTGATAAATTATCATGTGGCACGCGCAAACAACGTTGTATAGTTGAACCAATATGCTTTATATTATATTATTAAAATTATAATCATAGGAGATATAATATTATCATATCATGATCAGTTTCCGCCCTTGCTCTTAGTGAAAAAAAATTAATCAATATAAATAGTAAAATTCAAAACAGTATCGTTCACCATCTGGAAACGTCAACCTCTAGATGAAAATATAAATAAAATAAACAATCAAAAAAAAAAAAAAAGAAAAATAATAAATAAATAAAATAATGGAAATGTGAATGATGATCGGGACCTGTAATGACGAAGCCTCGGATACGCCATTATTCATTTTCTATTGGCGATTTGTGACTGTGGCAGCGTCCTACTCTACAGATTTATATCACCATCACAACTGTAACACACACACATCGTGCATTTTGCTAATTTTCAGTTTTTTTTTTTTTGATGCTATGGGTATGATTAAAAACATGACAAAAATAAATAGATAGTACAAAAAAAAAAAAAAAAAACGTATACAAATGAAATAAATATCAGCTTTCAATTAACATGTTGTGATAACTATCCAATTATACCAATAATGCTACGTTCACAAAATATATAGAATTGGTTTACCTAAATGTACAAGTAAATTTAAATTGTAAATTTGTAATATAATGGTACCTGGAATATATAGGTAATATTAAACAGTGATGAAAATATATATTGTCATAGTATTGTCTTATACAAAAAAAAAAACACATCCTTATAATACGAGGCTTATTAAATATAATATCTAATTACCACGTATTGTTACAGTATTCACTTGCTTTGTTTTATTATTAAGTAAAAAAAAAATATTGTTCATCAAACAATAATAATCGTAAGGTACGACTTATAAAGTAGCTACCTACGGGCTGCGTCGTGTTTTTCACAACTGTAATATGGGTTTATGACATTTTCTACATTTCAATAAATTGTTTAATTTAGCTTAATGACAATGATTAATTATACAATATAATTTATATTTTAATTTTAAATTTCCATATAGAATATATTGAACCGATGGAAAATATTTCTTGTTGACGGTTTAAAAGTTTATAAATGATAAATATTTAGTTGGATATTTGATTATTGAATTTAAAAATATAAAACTAAAACTTAAAACCCTTTAAACTAAAAAACAAATGAAAATAACCATACGAAATAATTACTATTATATTGTATTGAAATATAGTTTTTTTTAAATTCAGTTTATTATTTTCACGTTGAGTGACCAATTTATTGCTACGTTTAAATATTGTTCAAGATGAATGTTATCTTGTATTATGCAGTATTGTATTCCTAACCATTATGTTTTGTTTTTTTTTAATCATCATGGATTTAATTATGTAGGTAGTTTCAATATCAATAGGAAATCTCATGTGATTTGAACTGTCTAATACAATGTTAATCTATGGTCAATTAAAATGAAAAATACACATTATTTGACCCTTGTAAAATAATAGTAATGAAATGACAATTTATAAAGCAAAAAAAAAAAAACTGATCAGGTTTGTCGTTTTAAAACACAAAAACAAATATCCATAGACCAACGATTGCATTACATTCATTAAATATTTATGTTTAAAGTAAAAGCAAACATGGTACATTTGTTATATAGTTGTTTATATATTATATATATTCAACATATCAAATAATTCTAAGTATCTCAGTGCATTACATTTTAAGTATGTATTATGCCATTTTTGCGTTCTCGGGTTATCGTGTACATGATTAATAATAATACCAGATATAATAATATATATAGACGTTCGTTCTATCTGTCGAATATTCGAATATTCTACTCTAATGTTTATTTATTTTTGTAGTACGTCTTTCTCATTAAACGACTACTTTTCACGGTTAGATTAACAAAACTGATTAAAATTTTAGAATTTAAATGGACATCGGCAATCGATACAAAATTATAAAATAATATAATCAATTTGATAATTTTGATAATATTTGATGATGTCATATCAATATACCACACAGTCTCGTACCTCACCGAAACACAATAATATTATTAGAGTGTTTGCGCAATATGATATTATTATATTTCGGAAAACGTGTCAAGACCATCAATCGATTGATATTAATTTAATAGTTGATACCGAAATCCGTTAAAAAAGGTTTTCTCCCGAACTTGGACGTATTCGAACATTTCAAACAGCCCGCGACACCTGCGTTCGACGTTTTACTACTACGCTTCCATGGCCGTCCAAGAGATCGCGCTCAACGTTATAATAGTTATTAAAATATTATAACCGTGCTTTCGATGGGCGCGCCGCATGTCCACAGAGCCTGCTCAACCCGAGTCTGTCCAACCTGGGTCTGTGCCGTCTTCGGGTTCTATTTTCGAAATTACCGAAGTAGAAGGAGGCGGAGACGGAAAACTCCATCGTCCTTTACCGCAGACACACACACACATCACTGGTGGCTGAGCACGTTTTTCCGACGATTATTATATCGTTCGCGCTAATGACTCGGACACCGCACACCGACGGGTGGGAGAGTGCGAAATGGCGACGAAAATGAATGCGGAGTACTGTTTTCTCCTCTACCCTCGTACCCGCCTAACTTGACCCAGACCAGTCCTTCGCTGATGGTCGGGTAATGGCAAACCTTTGTTATTTTTGATATCACAGCGTCTTTCTGCATCCCACAATTATATAACTATTATTATTATTATTATTATTTTTATTTTTATTTTTATTATTATTATTATTATTATTATTATTATTATTACTGCTGTTATTACCCTACACACACTCGTGTGGTCGATCGGCAGGGGACACCACTGCGTTTTTATCTCCAATAGTCCCGAGCACCGTATTATAACGACCTGTTACGGAATACGCCCATATAGGGACTGGGAACAGTGTACTGTACAATATAATTGGACCATGCACGACGTACATAACCTAATATGTAATAATAATAGCAGGTACCTAGTACATTACGACATGTACACAGTGTACCTGTAATAGTACAACATGACGTATGATAACGATACACGCGTATAATAATTACATGTGTTTTGGGCCATTAAAGTATTATAATATTTTTATTACAGAGTCGTCGCTGTAGAAAAGTATAAAAAATATATTTCAAATGCTACAGACACGAGTCATTATGTACACGTAGACTATATAGTATGCGTCGGCGTGACGAGTGCGCAATGTATATTACACTGCGTCCATCACCATTGGCACGTCATCGCTTGTCGCCTAATTATAAAATTATTTTGCGATGCATTAAGACTATACGACTGCCCTGTTCGAGGCTGAGTGCGCACACATGACACGGGTCACAAGCAATGATGTAGATTGAAACCCTTTTTAGTTGTAATTTCGTCGTTTTACAAGTCGTTCGTCGAATCGTTAATGTAAACGATTATGTTATAATATTAATATTATTGACAGAATTATAATTTTGAAATATTATACTGGGTGGGGTCATTTTTAAAAATCGTCGACAATGGTGATAGTTGTCCATGTGTAATTATACAAGTATATGTAGATATATAGGTGAATCCGAAGTCGCTTGTTGTTGGGATCAGTTCAGTTATTATTGGGACTTGATATGATTTTTTTTTTGCCATTTTATTGATACATTAAATTATTAATTATTATTAATATATTGATTTGAAATAGTTATTTGTATTTTACTTAGTATTATTATGTATGTAACTAAATATGTAAGTATTGAGTATGTACTATGTGTTAATCTATATTTTTTACTTTTAAATTATAACACGTTAACAGTGCTTAGTAATAAATAATAATAATAAAGCCAATGCATTAATATTACATTTTTCATTACCTCTCAAATGATTTTAACCTCTTGAATGAGAGATAAAATATTCAAGTAAGATAATTTTCGATTTTTTTTTAATGGTAGACAACAATTTGGTCCCCTTTCAAAAATAATAACTAATGACATCACTAGATATTGTAATATGGAAATATGGTGCTACCGATGTGATCGCCAGTTATTCATAAAAATATTTTAAACGATTTAATATCGTTGGTATATTGTAAAACTGTATGTTTTTGACGAATGTTCTGTTTATAATTAGATAAAAATTACCTCGATTAAAATATAAATCTGTTATTTGTCAATAAGCAATGTTGCACTAGCTAACACATATTTTTATCAGATTAATTTCAGAATTGAACGCGTTCTTTTACATTCTTTTTGGTTTGAACTTTTTTTATTATTATCATATAACGTCCAAATAAAATGTATTTTTAAATTCTGATGATTGATTAAAAAATATATCTGATTGAAATGTAAAAAAATGTGTGTACATTTATTTATATTCTTTTCTGATTAAATCATACATAAATTAAAATATAACTATTTAAGAGAAAAATAAAAACAGAAAAATGTGAATTTGTATAAAACACAATTTTTTTAATCGATCGTTAAACAGTTTGTTATTATAACATGTATGCTATTATGAGATAAAGATGTATTGTTAACTTAAAAATTATCATTATCGTTGGTATTGTCTTATTTTTGAATACATTTTCCTATAAACATTTATTCCTTATATGATTTTAACTTAATCATTTTTTAAATATTATTTTTATGTTGGATTTAAAATGACAACTTTTTCTCTTATCATAAACTCTAATTTTACTTTAAAATAAATTAAAAAATGTTTGTCATAGCAGAAAAAATTTACATTTTAATTTAAACTCAGACTTGAACGTTTACGTTATTTTATAGAATTAAGCAATTTTCAATTTTCAGTTTTTAATATAATTTAAATATAAATATATTTTATATTAGGTATTTTGTATTACATAATATAAAAGTAGAACATCAATATAGTTTATTATTTTTTTGTTTAATGTAAGTACTGAAAATTACTATAAAAAATGTTATTTACTTGGCATTTTATAAAAGTAATAATAAAGGTTATAACAATATTAATATAATATTAAATATTATTATTAAATTTTAATATAAACAATATGACTACCTAATATTATTATAATAATATGATATAAACTATACAGATATACCATTGAATTGCCTATACCTTGCGCCGAATTTCACCTTACATTAACATTTTATAAATAAGCATTGAATCTTTTGATTCTTAATAATTAAAAAAAAAAAAATGGTTTTATTCACGTTTACATTCATTAACCGTTTGGTGGATTAGTTTCTTATAAAATCTATAATTATGTTTATTGAGGAGGTTTAAACTTATAAATGGATATTTTTTAAGCTTTTTAGCTTTTATTTTAATAATTATGTTAATACGATGTGTGATAATAATATTATATATTATATAGTTTTACAAAACTATATGAATCAAATTCATCAATTACTATTAGTATACTATTTTCAAAATTA